ATTTTTTTAAAAAACCATACTGGGATCCATGAGAATGACTCATTTGATAAAACACCACACAAGCATGAGGACTAGAGTTTGATGCCCCAGAACCTACATTAAAAAAAAAAGCCAGGTTTGTCAGCATCCCAGCAGAGACAGGAGAATCCCTGAGCTCTCTGGTCTGCCATTCAAGCCAAACGAGTGTACTCCTAATTGAGTGAGAGACTCTGTCTCAGAATTAAGGTAGAGAGCAATTGTAGACAGTATCTGACTTTAATCTCTGACCTTCTCGCGCAGGTAGGCACATGTACCCGCACACATACAACACACTGAAAAGTATTCATTTACAAATGGGGAACTGGCTGCCCAATGCACAGAACTAGGAAACCGGGAGTCCTGGGAACCCAGCTCTCTCTGTGTAGAACACATGTGACTGGGACCTCTCCTTAGGACCACTGCCAACTTCTTCTTCTCATAGGCTTCCTCTCTGGTCCGTCCAAGGCTTGCTCCTGATTAGAGTCATCATCCAGGGGCAATGAATTTTGTTGTCATATTCATCAAATGGTTAGGTCACAGATCTGCTCTGCCCACCCCCAGTGAACCTGGGCCTCTGGCTCATGTAGCACACGGCTCAGTGACACACAAGATCTGTGGACCTCAGCTTCCCATCGTCTCCTCAGAGGCTGCTTGAGTGCAGAGAAAGTAACCTGGAGGTTACTGAAGAGGCAGAACTGTGTTGCCCTGGACGGCTGTCATGGACAGCTGTGGTGGGAGTTCTAATTGTAGGTCTGTCTTCCCAAAGTCACAGGCAAGATTCTTTTTATCTCTGTGGGCTTCAGTTCACTCCCCCTAAGATGGCAAAAACGAAACATCTGCCTCTCAAGGGGTGAGAGATGGTTGATGAGAAGGTCCAGCCCAAGGCCTGGCTCATAGCAGGCAGTCACGGGTAATGGTGCTCACCGATGCTACCACCATCATCTTTATCATCCTCTTCCCTGCAAAAGGAGGGGAAGGTCCTTAGGCCAGGGAGATGGCTCAGCAGTTAAAACATTGCTGTGTAAGCAGCCAGTGTGAGGACCAGAGTTCAGGTCTCCAGAACGCATGTAAATGCCCGATGGGCACGGTGGCCTCTTGTAATTCCAGTGCTTGGAAGACAGACAGGGGATGCCTGGAACAAACCGTTTAGCATGACCAACCATATTGGCAGCCCTTTCTCAATGGATAAGGGACAGAAGCACACGTAGAAGACTCAAGGGAACAGCCTCTAGCCTTCACACACAGCACACACATGGCCTCCACACGTGTGAATGGATGTACCCCCGAACACAGACTACACACTTACTAATGAAAGAGAAAAGCAAAAGAGAAGGTCAGGCCACCAAGGGTACACGGCTGTCCTTTGATAGGGACATCTCCAAAGCTGTCTGTCACTGTGTGGAGGCTGAGGGTGAGCATACGGCTTTGAAAAGACCATAAGCAGGGGCTACTTAGCCAGAGAGAGTTGCCACATTATCTGGAGAAATAGTACTTGTTACTGTTAATGCATTTTAAACCATTTTCTATGGAAATTCTGTATAGAATATTTTTCCCTAGCTTTCTTCCGCAATTTTGCCAGAACTCTTTTCTATAACACTGACTTAAAATCGTGTCTGTGAGCCATGCTGACCACACTCTACCTTAACACAAGATGCCCATAGAACCTGGGTTGGCTGTGGTTGGAACCATGGCAGCTCCAGGTGACAAACAGAAGACCCAGCATAGCTCTATCTTGGTGTGACTCAGGCTCCCCGGGTCCCTGAGTGACAGCATGTTAAGTCATCTCAGCTCGTGCCTTTCTGAGCCAGCAAAACTCCAGTTCTTGGATGAGTAGCAGGTATCCTTGGCTAGAGAAACAGTAGGAGAGTGGAAGGGAGTCCTTGGCCTTGGCGGCTGCCTTTGCAGCCAGCAGACTCAACATGCTGGTGGACTCAGGTTTAGGAGAGCTGGAAATGGTCGCAGGTGGCCTTGAAGTGAACTCTCCTTGTCATCACTGAGAACATTCTGGAATCAGCGGAGAAAACATCAGCAGATGTAAGTGACATATGTACGGAAAAGGCTTAAATCTGATCTGGGGTCCTAAGTCCCTTCTTCCCACATGGTAAGATCACCGCTCTCAGCCTTGCGCACAGGGCCCTCTGATCTGTGGAGTGCTCTGTACCTCTGTCTATTTTTATCTATAAAACAGTTGTTTCAAGCTGAGAGTTTGGATGAAGATGTGGGGAACATGTGCATCAAATTTGCAGATGACTCAAAGCTGGAGGAGCTGACAGATTTAGAGTCCGAGATGATCTCGACAGCGGAGAATGCTGGGTCAAAAGCAAGCAGATGAAACTCTGCATCAATAAATCTAATGGCTTGAACACGGTTTCCAAAGCGAAATTGCACAAGGGCAGTACAAGGGAGACCTGGCTCGCCTGCAGCTCACATAAAAAAGATCAAGAGGCTTTAAAGTCGGCCTCAAGTTCAACATGAGTCAACAGAGTGATAGGACAGGCTGGGGAGGGAAAAGAAACCCAACCAAATCCCCGAATAAATGCTGATAATGCGCCATCCTTTGGTGATGCAGAGAAAGAAGGATGGCATGGTCTACCACCGGGTCAGGCCCAGAGGGTAGCGGAACACCAACATGAGTGATGCTTACTAAGAATTGATCACGCACCAAGAAGCACTTTAATTCATGCCACCAACACCCTAAGAAGTCGAGTAACAGCCCCAAGGTCACTGGTCTAGCTCTTGACCTCTTTGCTGTCTTTCTGATAGACACCTTGTCTACTTTCTCTTCCCCATTTTACCGATGCAGACACCGGACCGGAACTGTGAGGACAATGTGTCTGCAGTCCCAGTGGGTGAACTGCAGACTCAGGCTCTCTTGGGACCCTCTCATCTGTGCGCCTTTGTCCTGTCTTCTGGGCGAAAGCCAATGCCACAGGGTGGTCAGATGCTAACTCCGAAGACCAGGGTTCTAAGCCGTTTCCGGGGGCTCTGTTCACAGAGGGATTTCACCTGCTCTGTTTCCTCCATTGTAAGAGCACATAGGATGAAGCCTTCCTGTGCTACAGGAAATCTCACCCCCCCGGAGCGCAGTCCCCAGGCCTAACTGAACTCAATGGGTTGGTCACACTAGAGAACTCCGAAACCCTCTGCTGGGTATTTGCGTATTTCTTAGATGTCTTTGAACTTGTTCCTCACATAAACCACTCAAGCCCACTCCTTAGCCCCTGTGTCTTTCCAGCTTGCTACGATGAACTAGGTTCTTAATTTAATAAAACGTAAGTTGAGTGCCTGATACATGTATAGACATACGTATGTATATGTTATGTATGTATATACTGGGATCATGGCAGGCTTGGGGCGGATACTGTCTCTGTGAAACGTCACAGAAACTTCATTATTATTCTCATTTCATAATGAGAAAATTAGTTTTAAAGGGGGACCAACTGGATTCACTTGCCCAGAACGAGTGCTTTCTCAAAACATAGGACTTACCATTGAGTAAAACAAACAAATAAACAAAACAAAACAAAGCAATAAAAATGGTTCGGGGGTCAAGGGGCCACCTTAGTCCTTAAGTGCTTGCTATGGAAGTATGAAGTTCTGTGTTCAATTCCCTGTGTGCCATAACCACACATGCCTGTAATCCTGGCACTGGGGCAGCAGACACAAGAAGAGTCCTTGGGCCTGCTGGACAGCCGGCCTAGCCTGCTTGGTTAGTTCCAGGCCAACGAAAGATCCTGACTCGAAAAGCAAGATGGATGGTACCTGTGAAGTGACACCTGGGGTGGTCCTCTACATATTACACACCACACCACACATACACACACACACACACACACACACACACACACACACACACACACACGCACACAGCAGTTTAAAACTAGGCAAACTGAGATAGGCTTAGAGAAGTTAATTACACAAAGAATGGCTTTCAAATCAGTTCCCCTGATACCAAGTCAATAAGGAGACGGAACATAAAGAGTCACTGGGACCGGAGAGACTCTAACTTCTGCCCAGATGCTCCAAACACTCATTTGATTTCCTTATTTTCAGTTCTATGTCAGAAGACCAAGTTCACACAATGAAATGAGAAGAGTGTCTTCGCCCTGGGGTTGTTCTGACCCCGCTGGTTTAGGGGAGATCTAGAATAGTGCTCACTGTGGCAGGCACTCAAGACAGCTCTACTCCCCCCTCTCACCTGTTTACTCTGCATGGAGAACAAGCTGGGTCTCAGGGCACAGAATTATAGGCAGAGCACAACAAATCACCAACTGTAGCATGGGGACAGATTTGCAGGTCTTAGTTTGAGATGAACATTGGCCAGCTAGGCTGTGCCGGCATATCAAGGGAAGATGACCTTGGAGTCAAGGAGCCCAAGAGTGAGAGGAGACAGAAGGTTGAGGCCAAGCCTTTCCAAGAAGGTAGGGAAGGCGGTACCCTACTGTGAGGCCCTAGAGACCCCAAACTAGGAGCAGAGTTCAGGGTGGCTGGTGATCGTGTACAGGGGATTCTATGGGGCGTTCTAACTGGGCGGGTGAGGCTGGCTAGGCAGACCTCAGTTCCCTTCCAATTCTGGGACCCTCTAGCAGCTGTTGGCTCCCTTCCCCACAACTGTAAACATTTGTACAATTCCCAAGTTATAAAGTGAGCTCTTGGCTTACAAGGGTCACAGCGACAGGCCTGTTCAGGAAATAGTTTGTGCAGTGTTTCTTTAGGCTGCCTTTCTGAGACTCCTTGTCATCTGCGTTTGGAGTGGACACAAGCTGTTCTCTCTCTCTCTCTCTCTCTCTCTCTCTCTCTCTCTCTTTCTCCCCCCCCCCCCGTGTGTGTGTGTGTGTGTGTGTGTGTGTGTGTGTGTGTGTGGACTGTTGAGGAGGAAGAGATACAAATAACCATGTGAGAAAGCAGAAGCCAAGCAGTCAAGTCAAGGGCACTTCCTCACTTCCTCTCTGTGGCCACAGATGTCAGAGCAGAGCCCCTCCCCCGGGAGGAGAAGGTCCAGCTGTAGGGTCTTCAACATTCTGTCCCGGGGCTTTTTGCAGTGAAGGCAGGGAATGGGAATTGGAAGGAAACTCCTCCCTGCAGGAAGGTAACAGCCCTGAGTTTGGCTAGTTCTCTACCTACGGGTTAGGAGGGCTTCTTGGTGAATCACGTGGGTGACCCCAGGACCTGCCGTCGGGGAGACTGGGGAGATGATAATAAAGTTTGGGGTGTAAAGTAGGAAGGGATTCTTTATATTTTCTGAGAAGTATGGCATGCTTTATTTTACTTTTAAAATATATTTTGCCAGGCATTTGGTGGCACAAGCCTTTAATCCCAACACTTGAGAGGCAGAGGCAGGCAGATCTCTATGAGTTCGAGACCAGCCTGGTCTACAGAGTGATTTCAAGGACAGCCAGGGCTACACAGAGAAATCCTGTCTCAAAACAACAACAATGACAAAAATATTTTCGACTTTAATTTGTGTATGTGTGGTATGTGCTTATGAGCACAGCTCACAGAGGTGCTGGATTTCCCGGGGCTGGAGTTACAGGTGGATATGCATCCCCTGATAAGGGTGCCGGGAACTGAACTTGGGTCCTCTGGAAGTCTGAGCCATTTCTCCTGGCTCTACAGAATGCTTTTGATTAAGTGTTTCCTGTTTGCTCCACATTAGCCCCTCGGCCCCTCCACTGACGCCTCTCCCCATCTCCCTAGAGAACTCCTCCTATGTCCTCAGTGGTATGTCTTTTTCCCACACGCCAGAAAGTTCTCTCTGCACTCTAGCTCCATCCCTTGGAGATAAATGTTACCTCAGAGGGCTCTGGTAACTTTCAGATGCAGAATAAGGGGTCTTTGGCACCACACCAGGGTCTGTTTCTGTAGCGATTCTATGAGGCTAGCTAACTCCTATCCATCCCCTGAAGTCCCGAGTCACCCCGGTGAAGCCTGTGAAGCCTGCCTTGTCCTCTCCAAAGCTTCAGCCGTTTGCTTGTTTTTCTCTCTACCTTAGGATGGAGCGACAATTGTTTCAGTACATTTTGTTGTAACCAGCAGCCTGCATGAGGGCACCCTCCAAGTAGATTCGTGAGCTCCTCAGTTCTGTCCGTAGTGGCTAGCCCAGTGTCTGGCGCCTGGCAAAAGCTCCAGAAACTGCCGCTGAATGGAGAAATGGGGTCCTCAGAGTTGCTGTCGGGCAGTCTCAGGAGGACAACTGGAAGCTCTAACTCAGGTAGGCTTTTTTCCACCTCCAGAGCTACACTGCTGTCCTAGGAGAGGCTTCTCAAGTTGGTAAATGCTTGCACGCCCACATAAGGACCTGCGTTCAGATCTCCAGCATCCACATAGGAAGCCAGGTCCCGTGGTGCACCAATTATCCCAACCACGGGGAAACAGAGACAGGAGGATTGCTGGGGCTTGGTGGTCAGTCAGTCCAGCCCCATCAGCGAGCTCCGGGTTCAGCGAGACCCTGTCTCAAAGACTAAGCTGAAGGCCAGGTGTGACGGTACACATATTTGATGCCTAGCACTAAAGGCAGAAGTTCAAAGGCAGCCTAGTCTACAGAATGAGACACTGTCTCAGAAAATGAACAACAAAAATGATCATGAAATAAAATAATTGAAAATCCAGAGTGGCTGAGAAAGACAGATGATGTCAACCTCGTGCCTCCACGCATGTGCATGAGCATGAACGCAGACAACGCTCCGCTCTCAGCCTCCACAGGTCTGCCTTCCCTCCCTCACATGTCGGACAGACGGTTCATTTTCCTACTCCCCTCCACCCAAAAAGGTTTGGGTTCGGAAAACAGCAATCATTTAGGAAAACATGTAATTACTGAGGGTTCAATCATGGAAAACATACGACTCCTCCAGCCTCGTGGAAATGCCACGGCCTTGACTGGTGCGAGCCCACTCTCGGAGGACCTGAAGGAAGAGGCTTGGCTGTCCTGGAGGGAGCAGGAGGATCTTCAGTGTTTCCAGAACAGCCCACCTACTCCCTTCTGATGGGGAAGTCTGCCTGCTGCTTAGACCAAACCACACTCGAGGACTCTCTTAAGGAGAGGACTTGCCTTCAACTCAGTTTAGGCAGGGCTGAACTCATGGTGACCTCGTCCTTCCACAGCCAGGAAAACAGACTCGGCTCTTTCCAGTAGGGTGTCTGCCAGGGCTCCATGCCGGGCTCTTTTTCATCAGGGTGTCTCAAGTGTTTATAGGGGTGAGAAATCAGGGAGTGGAAACCATCCCTCCCAGTTTCCCTGAGATACTGGGAAAGAAAGGGCATTGCAAGAGACGGAAGTGGAGGAGGCATCCCATAACCCAGGGAAGAGCTCATAGCAGAATCTATCAGTCCCCAGGTTCTGGAGGAGCCCCTTCCAAGGTCTTGGACCACACTTGTCTCTCAGAAGACGACCACGTTCCCTGAGCTAGCCTATGTAGGTCAGGCTTCCAATTCAGCCATGCCTTGGCAAGTCTACCTCTGCCTGTAGCACAAGCAGTGTGGGTTCTGGTGGAGCAGAACCAAGTTGTGTGGAAGGTATGACCTCACTGGGAAAGCACCGGCTCAGGGTCCCCTCCTCGGGCTCCAACCTGGGAATGCACAGGGAACAGAGGCAGGAGTTCAGGCCAGGCAGGCACGGCGGCTGTGGGGAGCCGTGTTTCAGCTGCGAGGCTCATCACCACAGAAAAGTGTCATTTCTTCCTGCTCCTCTCAATTACAAAATAATAAGATTGTTAAAAATCCAATCATATGAACGTCAATATTGGCAGGGACAGCCGCAGGAAATTTAATTGCACAACGGGTGCCAGTTAAAGATGGTATGGGTTCTTCCTGGCTTTTCTTAATTCTAATTAGGATGAAATCTACTGCCTCTTCCAGACTTGCAAACAGGGGCTTGTCAGGAGGCCAGGAGAGGATGGGAATGGCACAGGCTCCCTTCCCCAGCCCCGTGCTTTCCTTCCCTCCCAGAGCACCGCCTCCCATTGGAGCTTTGCACTGATTTTGAACATCAGCTCTCCAGTTTCTTTGGCATGTCAGAGGGCCAGATGTTTTTTATTTGAGAGCAAATTGACACATTAAATTACACTGTGCAAACATTAAAGCCAGCCGCGGGTAAACAGGCCGAGATTCATTGAATTTTACGGGTCACAATGATGTTTATGTAATTTAACAAATTCCTGCCCTGCTGCTGAGACTCTCCAAGAAGTATTAATTGAGGAAAGATGAGAAGTTCCCTGAGGCTGTCTGTCCAGTCCCCTGCACCTCAGGCTGCAGAGCTCTTGGGAGGGGGGATGGGAGGGATTCAATGGCCTCATGTCAGGGTTTCACAATGGCCAACATGAAATGAGAAAGCTGTGTCCTTGCTGTGTTACTTTCTGTGGGGTTGTGACAAAATTCCTGAAAAAAGCTGTGTAAGGAAGGGAAGGTTTGCCAGGGCTCACAGTTCACATGGTCCGATACAGTCCGTTGCTCAGGGGAAGGCATGGCCCTGCCCTGGAAGCAGTTGGCCACACGGCATCCGCAGTCAGGAGCCAGAGGAAGATGAGCGCAGGTACTCAGCTCACTTTTCTCCTTTTTATTTAGTCTGGGGTCCCAGCCCACAGGAATGGTGCTGCCTACATTCTGAGTGGGTCTTCTTGAACCTAGAAACACCCTGGCAGCTATACTCAGAGGTTTGTTTCCATGGTGATTCTAAGCTCTGTCACAGTAGGGATTAAGATCGCCCATTGCACCTGTCTAGTAGACATGTCCTATCTTCATTCCAGTGAAATCTTAGAAAGGTTGTCAACCCGTATGAACCCGTTTCCTTCTCTGCTAATGCGGAGGGCGTGCAATTGCCTAGGTGTCGGTGCCTTTTCTCTAGTGACCAGCATCCCTGCCTTCTGTCCCTTCTGTCTGTTTCTATGGTGCCTTTCACCGTAGGACCCATTTTCTAGTTTTAAAGATGGGCGTACAGTCCAGGCCTTGATGATTGGAGAAGAGGACCAATCTGAGCCAGTGAGCATTTACCCACCACGTTGCAGGAACCAGCGGTACAGACATCTCATTTCTCTGGCCTTAAGTGGCAAGTCTAAGTTAGGAGCTGCCGGGGCGCTGTCTCATCCCTAGTGGGGTAAGGATGCTTGGGAAGGGGCTGCACCAAAGCATTAACAGAGAAGAACAAACTCTCCACCTAGGCCTCTTAGAGCCCCTGCATCCTGCTGTAGTTAAGGTGACCCTCAGTTTTTGGGTTGTGTGAGTGAATACATAAACCGATTCAGTGTGTCTTGACTCTCTCCTTTGCCCCAAATACGGAGACCCTTCAAGAAGCCCTGAGTGGATTGGAGAGATATGAGAGCATTCCAAAGCCTCTGCGCCTGCCTACCACTTCTCTGCCTCTCAGAACTCTTGAGTGTGGAGCGCTGCCTGGAGCAAGAAATTCTTCTGCACCCCTCCGTAGAGCCAGACCTCTATTCGTTTCTTTCAGGGCGAGATCAGCCCCCAGGCTGACCTCTGACTCCTCTGCTCCAGTCGGGCTGTTCCTAACATGCCCCAGCCTTCACCTTTGCTTCTCCATCTTCTATTGCTTGTAGTGCAGTGGCCTCCTCTCCCACCTGCATCCTTCAAGACACATTTAGTGTAGTTTTCCAGAGGCATTCTTCCTCCCATTCAGAACTTGTGCCCAGCAGGAGGGCCCTGCAGGAGCCATACTTGCCCTGTAATTATATAAATTGAAGACTGTACCGAATATTTTTGTTGCTCCTTGTATTGAACAGTTGTTTCTTCTATTTCTTTATAAGCTTGATTTTTTTCTGATACAATGCTGGGTACATAAACTCATGGGTTATTAGCATTCAAAGGTGTCTTAGAGGGGCCTGGAGAGATAGCTTAGTTGGAAAAAGGGCCAGGGCTTGAGTCTGGATCCTCAGACCCCATGTAAAGTACCAGGCTTGGCAGTATGTGTTTGCAATCTGGATGCTAGAGTGGCAGACAAGCAGAGCCCTGAAGCTCATTGGTCAACAGCCTAGTCAGATGAATGAGATTCAGGCTCAGTAAGAAAGAGAGAGAGAGAGAGAGAGAGAGAGAGAGAGAGAGAGAGAGAGAGATCCTGTTTCAAAAAATAAAGATGGAGAGAGATCAGTGAAAAGCACCCATCATAGACATCTCTCTCTCTCTCTCTTACACACACACACACACAGACACACACAGACATGCACACACACACACCAGCATGCACAATTAGCAGATAAGGGAACCAACTCAGAGAGAGGTTAATTGATGTGCTTGAGGTCACACAGCTTGTTACATAACATCCTATCTCCGTGTTCTTCCCACAGCATCAAGCTGTATCCATATGAATGGTTTGTTTCCCAGTTAAGTATACAGACGGCTTGAACTCGAGTGATCTCTTGCCATGCACTAATGTGACCCAGTCAGCCCATGTGATAGACAGGGCGGCCGACTCAGTGGTATCACAAGCTCTGGTTCAATTCCTGGCGAGGCCGTGTGACCATAGATGAGTCTTTTTTTTTTTTTTTTTCCTCTCTAGACTTCCATTCTCACAGCTGCAAAGTTAAGGGTCTCGTATCAGGTATTAGGGCAAGTGAGTTAGCTTTGTACCCATCACCCCCTGCTGTGAGGCTGCCTCAGGGCTGTGTGGGAAGGAGTGGATGGTGACCCCTCACAGGAAAGGCCGTTCTGATTGGTTAGCAAGGTGGGTCATGGTAACAAGCATAGCGGCCCTTTGCTCCATCTGGCAAAATGATTTCTGAGGTTCTTCCCGTCCTGTCACTCAGGGAAGATGCAGATCCCAAGCTCATGTCAGAGTTTGGGCTCCCTGGCATGTTCCTCCATCTGAGGGCTGTCCCTTCTGCCTTCACCTGCATGAAACACTATGCCAGATTCCAGAGCTCACAGCTCTGTCCAGAAAAGGTTCACTTGGGCCTGACCTTAGCGCCACAGAGCAACTGAAATGTAGGGCGGGAATTTGGAGAAAGTTGTGTGGGCTGCGCCGTGGGGTATGGAGTAGCAAGGGACGATGGAGTCTAAGACGTCTGGCTATAGACCCCTTTCCTTCGTTAATTGGTACAGGCTTTCCCAGAGAACTGGGTGCTAGGAATCAGGCCGCCTTGGGGAGGAGATACAGCTGTCCAACCTCTAAAGTGTTAGAGCCTGCACGCTTACCTCATCAGCCTCCCTTGTGCCTCGCTTTACCCGTCTTCCCAATCAAGGTAATTGTCCTGATACCACAATTTGGGATGGACTATTTCACTGAGTAAGTTACATCTAGTTATGTGAGGTCTGGCAGGTACCCAACATGCCGTGTTCCTCACCAACCCCAACTCTCTCTCCCCTTGCTAAGGAAGTTTAAACATCCATTTAAGAAGCCTGCCTTGTTGCAGGTGCTTGAAACTCCAAGCTGAGTGAGACACACTCTTGGCTTGTGATCGCCTGTTGGTTACAGCTCGCAGGAATAAAATACAAAACGGTTATACCATTACCATTACTGCCAATAGAAGTAAGCGGCCTTCCAGTGCTGCTGCCTCCAGGAGCTCAGATTGTAGCATAGGAATTTGAACACTGCCTGCCTCATTAGAGTGTTTCTATCTCGCAGAATGGAAGCCCTATCAAACAACAGTTAATTTATAAACTCAGAGCAGAAGGAAAGAATGCATGTGATTGGCCTGGCTATAGTCACGTGTCCATGATAGACCCAATCATCAAGGTTGGGTAAAAATGGGGTGTTGTGATTAGACAGTCTTAGGTCAGGAGTCTTGTTTATTTAATGCACGTGTGTGTGAGTACAAGTTGGTACACCTGTGTGCATGTACTTGGATACAGAAGGACAACTTCAGACATCATCTCAGGGATGCTAGCTACCTCCCTTGATTCAGGGTCTTTCATTGGCCTGGCTCTCTAATGAGGCTAGGCCAGGCCAGTGAGCCCCAGAGACTCTCCTGTCTTTGCATCCGTGGTGCTGGGATTATAAGCGGGCTCTACCACACCTTCCACCACTTGGCATGGATTTTGGAGATCCCACTCAGGACCCTGTGATTATTAGGTTTTTTTCTAAGACAGCTGTCTTCAAAGCCCAAACCAGAAGAGTCTTCACAGCCAGGCAGGTAAAGTAGGCCAGTGAAATTCACTGGCAGGGGTCCTTACGGTGTGATTTCTGGAGGGGAGGCATCTCTTGGAAACTTGGGAAGCATTCTGGGGGCCCCACCACCAAGCTACAGCCGGACAAGTTCAACTCCCTTTAGCACTTGGTACTGACTGCACGGGGGCAGGATGCCAGTGGTGGTGGAAGCAGCAGGTCTCTGGGCTCTCCTTTTCTCCAGAGAACTTAATGATATGCTGCTGACCGCACCGGCTGTGGGCCAGGCCCATGGTCAGAGACTGCCGAGGCTGTGGTCGAGTTCCTGCCAAGGTCAACTCCATTCTGTCTAACTTTAGGAGTGCATGGTTGGCTTCCCAAGCATCAAAGAAGTCGAAGTATCCGACTCCAGAGTGTGTGTATTTTTAAAGCAACAAGAACAGCACCAAAATCAAAACAAAACCAGAGAGAAAGAAAACAACGCCAAGAAAATCCAAGGATGGTTCAGTGTCCAACAGACTCGGCTCCCAGTGCTCCGAACTTCTTCATGCGGACGCCCAGCAACTGCGGTCAAACGGAATGAGATACACCTACTCTGTTTTTAAAGCTAAATAAAAATAAAAAGTAAGAATGGCCTCTAATTAGTGGACCCGCTTTACTCCTTCCCATCAAAGCCTAGTGTTTCCTGCAGAGCTACATTTCCTAAAAAGGTAATGGTAGGAGGCCCAGCTTCCTCACCAGTGGGCATTAGGATGCCCCACAGACAGCATCCCCTGGGGCTCTGGGGATTCAGTGCCAAATGGTGTCCCATGTAAACACTCGGAGGGACTGGGAGGCGGGGACTCGGGCTAGGTTCCACTCTGTTCTTTGACTAGCTGAGTAAACTTGAGCAAATGCCCGAACTCTGCAGTCTCTGATTTGTCCCCTGTTAAAGAGGGTCTTAGTGCGGCAAGAGAGTGGACAGAGAGGGCAGAGCTACAGCGTATGAGAGAAGCCGATCAGCAGAAAGTCTGAAAACTCCTCCCAGAGATGGTGGTTCTATGGGAATGACCCATAAAGGATCATGACGCTTCTGAGTTCTAACTTTGTAGGGAAGTGCTTTCTTAATAAATTGTTTCTGTCCCTCGCCATGCTATAAGCTGCAAACCTCATCTGGTGCCCTCCTGACCCAGATTCATGCTGACAACCCTGATGCTGGGCCAGCTCACCCTTGGTGTCAGTTTCAGACCCTCTGCAAAGGGATTAGATTATTACTTCATCAGATTGTTCTTTTACCCGTCGGCCTTTTCTTTTCCTTATCCTCCTCAGCATCTCTCCCCCTTCTTCCCTCTCATTCCATCTCCTTGGTCCACCCTCTCCCATCCTCTTTGCCCTGTGGGCACCTCATCTGTCTGACTTCCAATGGCTGGACGCTCCAAGGGAGTTAGCACAAGTGATGTTGGCACTGGAGGAGAGCCTGGGTTCCCTGAAGTAATGACCTGGACTCGTGGAGGCGTCTCTGGGAAACTGTTTTTTTCCAGGTTGTCTGGCCTCCCTCCCTTTGCTTGGCCAGGAAACTGCAGGAAAGCATTCATCTTTTCAGATCCAACTGGTGGTGCAGACCTCCAGGACACCTTCCTCTGTCGGCTGCCCAAGTTGGCCAGACAGTTTACCCTCTGACTGGGGTCACACATCACCCAGGGGAACGCTTATTTTTCCTGATGGCCACAGCCATGGAGTGGGAGGCTTAAAATAAAATACAGAGACTCAGAGAAGACCAGAGTGCAACAGGTCTCGCACAGTCTTCAAGAGTAATTTATACACGCTTCTCAGGCTGAAGCCACTTGCTCAGGCATTTAGGAGCAGGCCAGGACCACCCTCTGGCTCTGCAGGTCTTTTTGTACCCCGCAGCCGCTGAGGCAGAGAAAGAGAAGCACTGGGCATAGCCCCATGTGACTCAGCCCTTGTTCGGTGCCTGCAGTAACAGGCTCCTAGGAATCTGTTTAAATTTGTTAATGTTTCTCTTTTACATTTATTTATTTATTTTCTTTCTGATTTCATGGACCCATATGTGCCATAGCACCCATATGAAGGTCAGAGGGTTACTTGCAGTCTCTACCCACTGACCTGTATTAATTTCTTCTTCTTCTTCTTCTTCTTCTTCTTCTTCTTCTTCTTCTTCTTCCTCTTCCTCTTCCTCTTCCTCCTCTTCCTCCTCCTTCTCCTCCTCCCACTTTCCCCCTTTTTTAAGACAAGGTCTCACTATGTAGCCCTGGCTTGCCTGGAACTCACAGAGACTCACCTTCCTTGCCTCCCAAGTGAGACTGAGCTTAAAACTGTGTGCCACCATGCCTAACCTCTGTTTTGTTCTTTTAATTGAGACAAAATTTACACACAATAAAACACACCTCTTTCTTCTGATAAGCAGCATAGCCACACCACATCACTCAACACACAGGCCCTTACACACACACACACACACACACACACACACACACACACACACACCATTTCTGGTCATTCCTCTCCAGAAACAACCATTCCTGTGATTTCTCTCACCAGAGTTGTCCTAGGATTCTGTACACACCACAGCATACTGTGTTTGTTTTCTGCGCTGCTCTTTTCGCTCCACACACCTGCGAGGTTCATCTGCTCCACACACGCTGTTCTCAGCACTCTGTGGAGTGCCGCGCCAGAGTGTGACCTTCCCTACCCAGAGCCTCTCTGTTCACCAATGTTGCGGCTGTTCCCGAGTATTGACGGTCATGAGTAAAGCCACGATGGTCGTTCACGAACTGCCTGCGTAGACATTTATTTTCACGTCTCTTGGGTAAATAGCTGCTAATGGACTTGCTAGATTGTAAATAGGCAAATTTTCCATTTACAAGGAATTTAGGGTGCTGGAGAGATGGCTCAGTTTCTAGTTTGATCCTCAGAACAGCTGTCACCCTAAGCACAGGAGCTCCTTTGTGCGGGGACGGTAGTTGACGGACCTACAACTGGTCAGGCACCGAGAACGAGATGCTGCAGTGTGCTCTGGCCTAGACAGGTCATCTGTGTCACACCCACTCCTCCCAAGACAAGCAGACAGAAGGAACGTGAGAGGCCGTGGATGACTTCAGGGAAAAGCGTTTCTGGACCCAGCAGCTCAGTCGCACAGATAAAATCGCAGCCTTTGGTTCAGGATGCATAAGACCTGCACACGCTTAAGTCAGACCAGATTCCAGCATGGAAACAGAGGTGAGCATGAAGCCCCACCCTGTCCACAGGGCTATTGGCAATTCATAGCTGCTGGGAAACAGAAAGTCGGTTTTCTTTAAGGGTGCAGTCCCTGGACGGGTTAACCACGTTCCACTGAAGGCCACATGTCTAAAAATACATGGGCAGCTGAAACTCTAATTGATGGGTTAAAAAAAAAAACATACAAAGTTGGTTGGACAGGGAAAGAGGGATGAAACTGGAAGGGATAGGAAGGGAGAGATGTGATCAAAACACATTGTACAGAATTCTCAAATAACTAATAAAATTGAGAGATAAAAAGCTGGGTGGGTTAGTACTCTGGTAATACCAGCGCTGGGAGGAGAGATCAAGGACTCCCGAAGCTCATTGGTAGCCTACTGGGAAAGTTCCAGGGAGAGATGTTCTCTCAATAAAGGCGGGGGTTGCATCTGAGGGACAATACCCAGGGTTGTCCCCTGGCTTTCACCTGCATGAACATAGCATGCACCTGCATGCACACGCATCTATGTGAACACCTGTGTGAGCGCACACACATGGGCCAATTTAAAACAGGATTGTTGGTTCACATCTATTTCCTCTGAGTGAGTCAGGAAGTGATGTTCCTCCATGGTTTTGGCTTCAAATTCCTGCCCTGACTTCACTCAATGGTAGACTTTGGCCTTTAAGAGGAGATAAACCCATTCCTTTCCTAAGGGGCCTTTGGTCAGAATGTTTCAGCACAGAGGTAGAAGCAAACTAGCATGGAGGAGAGGGACGAGTCACATTTCAGACAGAGAATAAAGAGCAGGCAGGGTGTTTACTACCCTATAATAGGATCTGTTTCTTAAAAATCGAAGGGAGAGTTTCCCCAAAACACCATCTCCAAGACATTCCTTCTAAGGAAGGGGAAGGCGTAGGAAGCAAGGATTTTGGCCAGATGCAAAGTGCTGGCAGCTCCCTCCCTTCCTGTGAGGAAGAAGGGCGATCTTAATCGCAGTAGGCAGCTCGCAAGGTCACAGCTTCTTTCAGACAAGCGGCGGAAGCAGAGGCCCTTGGAGAAACGCAGGGTGTTATGACAGACGGAATCATTAGCCCAGACATATTTCTGTTCATTGGGCCTTCTCTCCTAAGAGAAATCTGTTGCTCCAGCCCTTGTGGGCTGATTAATATTCCAGAAGGATCCATCAAGAGAGACCAGCAACTTGTGAGGGAGGGAGTCCTTGATGTTTCCAGGAGACCATGGCAGCCATGGCTGTTCTCAGCAGCTGGGTTTGAGGGATCCTGGTGACAGGTGCCACGGCAGGCCACAGGAGCTGGGGGGTGGGGTGACTCGTGTAAAGTCCATGGGTCTAAGCCCAAGGGCTCTGAAAAGGACCACACTCCAGATGAGAGGGGACCCTGCCCTGCTTCATAGTGTTGGGCACACTGACATCTCTTCCCTCAGCCTGGGTCTCTGAGGCCCCATTCCCTCTCCAGTAGCTGTTGGAAGCTGATGGGGAAACCTTTTTTTGGGGGAGGGGTAACCCTTAAGGGCTTCAAGTCAAAGGTTTAGATCGCAGTAGCTGTTGTCACCTCTGTGTTTCCTGAGCTTTGATGGGGAGGGTCCTCTTGTGCAGGAAGGCCTTCGAAGGCATCCTCAGGCCTGCATGCCTCCTTCATCCTTACTCTGAGTCGGCAGCAGAGTGTCCTTTTGATCAGAAAATCTGGTGGGAGACCAGACATGGTAGAGCCTGCAAGCCCTTAGGACACAAGGGATCTGGTGGGGCCCTGGTGGGAGCCTTGGACTCCTGCACTGACCATACAGCCGGTTTTCAGGAGGCACCATGCCTTGGCAGGGCCTGGGGAGGGGAATGAGGGCAATCTTTTGCCTTCTCTTTCTTTGTTTCTCTCTGTCTCTCCCCCTTCCCTCCCTCCCTCCCTCCCTCCCTCTCTCTGTCCCTCCCATATTAGAATCTATGTTCTCAACTGGAACTCCAGGCTGTCCCCTTATTAACTGATTTTGTTGTTTATTTGTTTCTTTCGAGTCTTCAAAAACGTGTCGCCATCTTCCAGCCACGTCTGCAGGGTGCACACTGGCCAACTCTCCCGTTCATGAGCTGAGATAGAAACAGAGAGCCTTGCTCTCCACAGTTCTGGTGTGAGAGTGACCCTGCCACGGTAATAAAACATACATGATGACAGTGCTATGTCTACAAAGCAGGCCATATGGAAAAGCAGCCACACCAGCTTGCCCAAGCCGTGCATTCGGCACCGCTAGCTGCAGCTTCAGACTTGGCTGGGCCTTTCTCTCCTTACAACTCTGACCTTGACTTCTTGCTGCTCAGGCCTCTGGCCAAGCCAGTCTCCAGCTAAGCTTGCCCAATCTATAACCTCTGTGCTTATCCAAACTGGATCAGCCTTTAGGGCCTGTGTGTTTGGATTTTTCATTCATTCAACAAGCATTTACTAAAGTGCC